TACCATTTCGTCAAAAATAGTAAAAAAAAATTAACTGTCTCATGTGAAAACTGTTGTGCGGTTCATGTCACTCAATTGAGTAGGGCCGCACAAACTGGCCTTTTTGAACAAGGAGAAATAGAGCTTTATTCTTAGCATGTCGAGACATTCTAGAGGTTAACGTATTCGCTTTAAATAGAGACGATCAGCAAAGGATCTGTAGCGCAATGTAATTACGTGCCACTCGTAAACCACAGCTTTAGTTCAGTTCATGTTCTCAGTTCCAACTAAGTCTTTCACTTCTCGGTGATCATTAGACTATGATAGCAGAAACTCTTTTGTGACGGAAAATAGCACTGCACTACTCATCTACTGATGCGCGCTAAGCAGTTTGCCAGTGTAAGATTTTTCTACGGGTTGTTAGTTGAAAAGTGGAAAAAAATTCAGTGTCGAAGTTGTTAAAGACGTATGTAACAAGGATACTGTTGGGATACGGTCAGCACTCCAAAGAGAGTTCATTCACCGAATATGTTTTCCCCAGAAACGTGGGAGGAGAAATTTGAAGAAAGCTAACGAATGACTTCGGAATGAAAGTGGAAACTAAGTTAGTAGTTGTTATTTTAGTATTAATATCAGTTTGCATTCTTAAAATGTACAATATGCCATCAACTGTGCGTTGTCTTACAGAAGAGACGCTTTGGCTTTTTTTCCTTCTTCATTCTTTTTTCTTCTTCTTTCTGGTAGTGCTGAAGAAGTAACTTCTAAGTAAAGATTATCTGCCGGAGTGTTCTTTTACTGTGCGTTTACTCCATGACTCTTTTTCATCATCTATTCCGTCTCCACTCGTTCGTTTGAAGTTCCTATCGTAATGGTTCGGCTAGAGATATCTACACATTTTTTTGCTCCATGTGGGCTACTCGATCGTTTGCTTTCTACATTTCTTAACGACGAAAAATTACAAAGATGAAGGAAGGAAAGAAGGAAAAAATAGATGTCGCTAATGTGGAGAAAAGCCAAGAGAGTAATATGAGCCGATATAATAGATCAGGTGTCTTTCAGAGCAATTACAGCATACGAATCACGAACATGTAAAAAAGAGCGGGAGAAAATCGAAGACTAGGGGAAAAATATTTGTTTTCCCACTAATTACCCGTTTTGGACTAGATTTTTCAGCATATAATTTTATGAAGATTTTGAAGTAGAAGTCTACATCCTCACACAGAAGTAGAAACACCAGCGCGGAAAACTCTCGTAGCATTCTGGATTCATCCCAAGAATCCGAAAATGAACCGCAGGGCGAAATACCTCATAATCACGCCTGATATCTTGTACTATTTAAGAATGTTATTTTAATGTGAAAGCCATATTACGCTTCCATGTGAACTCTGTACTGGTCCCCACGTGACATATTCAGTGAAAGACTCATAGAAAACGGTGAGCGTGCCAAGAAGCTCTTTTTTGTTCAGTGTTATTGAAATCTTGGTTTAACACTTTCTCTGTTTGGTTAAGGTGTTAGGCTGGATAGATTGTAGTCAAATTGACCTCTTCAGACTATGAGGAAGGCGAAATCCGCCGAAACATCAGCTTTACCGGAGTAAAGAGGAAAACAACACATCGTGCTAGCTCAACATATGTTGCCGTATAGTTCGTTGGTTTAACTCCTAACAGCGGCAAGATTACGTGCCTGAGTGTCGTCCTGCGACATAAATAGCTCGTCTTCCTGAAGAGGTCACCGAAGCTGGAAAGAAGTTCGACATTACTATCTGAAAGCCTCACTGAATCTCCGCTGCCCTAGAGGAAACGTAATCGCGTGGGGCGACAAAACTTGCTCAAATCCAGAACAGTCGGCATCTAAGTGCAATGGCTTTCTGGGAGCACTCTGAGAGCAAATCACAGGACTTCGAAGAAAAGGATCCACTCAACGAAAATACTAGTTGAATAACGACTGGACTCGACAGCAATATGGAAGACATGTTATTCCATTGTCTTCTTAGATTTACATTTTTCTGCTATCTAGAGGATAAAGGATTTACCGTTCAGCGTTGATCAATTCCAGTAGGATGCGCCAAACCTTCGATTTCATCAACTGTCATAGAGGAGATTGAGTGCATAACTGGCCCATGCAGTGATTTTGCTACTGATGTATTACGTCAATGAAATACAGCCACAACAATGCTTAGATATGTATTCTTTCTTTGATGAGCTTACACGAGGTTGATAATGATATTTATTTATTTATGATATTTTTTCCGAAATGCTTAGATAGTTTTAATCTTTCATCTACCGCTTACTGTAATTTTTCATGCAAGGTACTATGTGGAATGAAACTATAATGATGCTGAGACATTTGTAAAACGCAGACCCCCGGCCAGATTCGAGCCACGATTACCCTTTTTGAAAGCTCACGTGTTACGCAAGGCACCACTGAAGCCCTTGCTTTGTTTTTCTCTCAGCCAATTTTTCACCCTTGCCGTCCCATCAACAATATTACGTCAGTGTTTTTTATCTGCCCTTACAAGTTCGGCAACAATTTACCAATCACAATTTGAGAGAGAGCTTTGTTGGCCCGTAAGCAGGCGCGAATCATCTATAAAATGTGTGTTAAAAGTCACCTCTCTAGCCACCACGCTACACATGCCTATGATTTTCTTTATCTACTTGTAATACTTCAACGAGATTTCGTGACGTGCAAAGCGTTTACGTTGGGCTACAACGGAAATAATACAAATCCCTTCAGCAAATTTGCACATCATTCCAGAACATTCTAGTGATTCAAAGAGGTAAGGCCAGCATGAGAGCAATCTACTAAGACGCATTGTTTGGAGTAGGTGCAGACAATTGTCGTTGCGGCGGATCAACTCTGCTGACCGGGAGGACAGTCGTTCCGAGTTATCCCGCTTCCCTTCTTGGTCACCACCAAAGGTCAATGCCACTCTCACCGACCGCCTCCTACCATTCATTCTACTTCTTTTTGCTCGTTTTTTTTTTTCAATTTTCTCATTATCTCATTCCTTCCTTCCCTTCAATCGAATTTCTTCGTACATCTCAGTGTAAATACAATAATTTCTGCTACATCTTAGTGTTCTTCAAATGATAGCAAGAACGCACCAAGTAAGTTCCTACTTCCTTTGCTTTAATTCCCTCTTATTGTCATCTCTTCTGGGATTTTTACTAAGTGTTAGGCCAGAAAAGCAGATAAATAACAAATAAATCCAGGCATTGTAGATAAATGAAAAAGGAAGTAAATGTTGGTTAAATGAAAGAGTGAATAAATATCACATCTAACGTTTTGTTGATGGCCGACAGGTGTCAGATTTCAGACTGCGATTCCGAGAGAATTCAATCGAATCCCACGTAGTGAATTGGGGGTGTGATATCCCACTTTCAATTTTCTTCTTCACGTTTTTTCCGGTGCCGCAGTGATGCTGTAATAAATCTTTCTTGTAAATTATTCTCTCGCCCTTACAATAACTTCATCTTGCATTTGACAGCTGTAGTCTGGAAGCTTTACCATGAAAAAATGCTTGGACGAGGTATTTCTACCACGCTCTTTGGAAACTGTTTGTTACTGGTTTATTCCAAAGCCTCAAATAACTGGTGATTTTCAGATTTTCTTTCCTAGAACTCCCTATCCGAACTCTCTGGTTTCAGTGTTTTTGCAGAGTTCAACTCGTTAATCTTGTGATTGCATTCATGCCAGATGTTCATAGACTGTCGTCAGAACGTCCTAGAGTATACAAATTTATTTTTCACTAACCACTACTGAAATTATTTGCTAACATATTTTTTCACTATTATATTTGGCAACAATTATTCAAAGAGATCTTCATGTTTGTCGTTCTACATATGCTTTCCTTATCCATTCGATGGTTTACGACTTCACCGTTGAGGGTGTATTCGTGGATATTGAATACCGAGGCGGCACAGCAGGGGACTACCAACGGGATTAACGAAACCATAAAACGGTTAGAGATTTCGACCTGGAAGCCTGTGGAAACTAACCAGTGACAGGAATCGCTGTCACTTAATATGCAAGGTTTTCTCAACACAGCAAGCTTTAATTAGACTCATATGAGTGAAGGATGACTGTGTGTGATAACGATCTGGAATTCTCTGGGACAGCTGGCATCAAACTCTAAGGTAAGCAACCTCTCCTGCCTAACAAACAAAATAGTAGTTAAGTAGAAAATGAACTGGAATCTGCAATAATCGTTGAAATACCGGACATTCATACACTCAAGGTATTCATCCATAGACGTATTGCTACACAGTCGTCTAAACAGTGTCGAGTTGGTCTTGAGTTGAAGACAGAAAAGATGATGGAAAATGAAAGCAAAAAGATAGTGCTTAACATCTATATTCACTTCTCATGAAAGATCGCGCATTTATACTGTCACGCCCTACCACTTTTGGAAAAATCTCGATGACGTCTTCCGCTACAGACCGACCCCTCTAACAACTGAGGAATATGTTATTTCGCACACAGATTAATCACTTTATGAAAGCATGTATCATGTGCTCCTAGATTCTTCACAAAACAACCTACCAGATGAGTTAAACCACCGATAAATTGAACAACAAAAATAAACTATCTGATTCACACTATCGGAGTCGCAGTATTTTTTGAGACTGTGTAAGGTTTGTGATTGGAGTGCATTGCGGCGTGCCAAGCGCGCACTTGCCGCCGTAGTGGTCGTGGTGATGTCCCTCGAGTGACCTCGACTGACCGCCGACGGTGGTGTAGAGGCCAGCAGGGTGTCGTCAGTCGCCAACCGAGTGGAGAACCGATAGGCCGACCGGCGGCCGACCGCCGACCCGACTGCTCGTCCGGAGCCGACGGCAGCGGCGTCGCGCGCGTGCACCGACGTTGTAATGGAGTTGTTCGCATTTGCATAGCGACGAGACAACGAGCGAGGCGTCAGAGGGCGGACGAGAAGCCCGACGACAAAACACAACCCTCGTCCGTAGCGCTTTTTACACTACGTTGCTCATCGCGCGCTGCTCGCTCTCACTGGCTTGGCTTACCGAGCTGCGACGGCTCCGCCATCACCACCACCACCAGCATCACCATCACCATTAGCATCACCATCACCATCGCCATCACCACCACCATCACCATCACCATCACCACCATCACCATCACCATCACCACCATCACCATCACCATCACCACCATCACCATCACTATCTTCATCACCAATCACTCTTCCAGTCCACCACATCCCGTAGTCCAAACCTCTTCCTCTGGGCCATCGATTTGCGGCAATCTGTTCTTAGTTTACATGATCCGTATTGATATTTCGCTGGGAAATCATCTTTTTTCCAGCTGTCGTTTTTTACGACATGGCGTTGTACACTTTCTCAAGGTCTTCTACTTATAACTGATTTATGTGGTATAATGTCAGGCATTCTATTTATACTCATATTTTGGTGCATTCATTGATTGAATCTTCAACCAAGTCCTTCACTTTTGAAGATCTCATTGCGATTTCTTTATAGACTGTCTGTTTTTTTTTTTATAGCTCCTTAAAATAGCATATGCTCGGAAAAGAGGGAGAAGGAGAGAAAGAAATGAAGACGAAGAGTAAAGTAATCAACGAGTCGCGTTGATTTGTTTGACGCAGAGTTTGTTGGAAGATTTTTCTCAAAGAAAACTTCCAAATAGAGTTATCGTTGCTCCTTTTACAGTCTCCACCATCTCCTCAACTTCGCTATTCGTTTTTAAGCGTTGATTTCATACGGTATCGGTATTTCTTTGATGTGCACGTTCTAGTCTGATCCGACATTTTTTTAGTGATGAACTGGTAATTACCGAACATCGTGACACGTCAAAAGTCATGCCTGTGTTTCATACGAAGACAATCGAGAGTATTCTCGAGCCGGTGGCTCAGCAGGTGCCTTTTTTGATTGTTTTCCCATATTCCTTGCTTCTTCATTGTGAATGTCTCCACTATGTGTGACAAATTAACATCTTCTTTCTGTTTTGTGCATAACCCAATTTGTTCTTGTATACGACAAACTTCTGAAAAAATGTCCTTGGACCTGTTTTTGACTAGGTGGTGAGCATAGCGTCAATATCATTAATCATAGATAACTGTCTCATTCTCCCCTTCTATCAACAGTCAATGAGACATATAACCGCCAGGCGAACTCAAGCAGACTACTGCACAACCTCTTAATTGCCGTTGATGCATAGTTTGCTAGCTAATGTGAACTACTAACCGGAAGTGGTTGACAACTCCCAGTCAGTACGTCGTATTTATGACGTTGAGAGAGTCGTTTATGCTGGTCCTTGTTGTTCTAGTACGCAGTCTGGTCGTAAGACGAATTATCATCGGTCATTCAGCTCACCTGGAATGTCTTTATCGTCTCAGCAGAATCCAAGGAGCGCGTGGGGTAAGCCGTGCCACTTTACTACACGATATATTTAGGGGTGGGACGGCCGCCCTCTCGAGACTCATTGCGACTATCATTCAGAAACATCCGTCCGATAACAATAGTCGCACTACGAACGATGACATAAAGGGAAAGTACCGAAAAAGAATTGTTGTATGGTATCAATGACCTTACGTGCCCAAATGACCTTAGATGTATTTGGGTGCATGTATAAACATGTATATATATATATATGTGTATATACATGTATACATATACATATATATGTATACATGTATACATATACATAACATATATACATACATATATATATGTATATGTTGGCATGTATATACGTGTGTTAGTTTTGTTTTCTAAACAATGACATCATTTTCTTAGACTATTAGTGAAGCTTGAGGAGTTCTTTGAACTATTTTGCGCCATTGATTATTATAGAACCTTAGTTGGTTTTTCTAATAGCTCTCATCTCTTAAATGTTGGTAAAGCAATGGCTCCGTTAGCTCTAAATGATCGTATTTAATATCTACTCCTTCATTGTTAAGCCAGCACGAGGTAGATAAAATGATTTATTCGGCTAGCATTTCGACGTTTTGGTCCTTCTGAGAGCCGATGATCCTAGTCGATATCCACAGTCATTCGTCTTCTCGATGTAGGGTCTTTGTCGAGTCGAAGTTTCGTCAGTGGAGCACCGCTCGAAGGGGGCAACCTTCTGGCGATCCTCTTATGTACAGGACGACTGTTGTTGCCAGTGACTATTCGGTGATAATAACTCGTCTTTCTTGGACAATCAATTCTGCGGAAGTCGGTGGCATTATGACCTGGCACGGAGTGTAACAATGTTTCAGAGGTCCCTTTATCCTATTCATATCTACCTCTGCGTATTTTTCATAGGTTTTTTATTGATTTATCAACTCGCTCCTTCCATGAACAACGATCACCAAGCGAGTGATGTCCAATTGTCAAGCGAATAGTCATGACAGAGTTTTTCTTCTTTCGGTCAGCAACGATCTACTGTCAGTACGATCAGTCTGGACCAAAATGAGCAATTACTTGTTTCCTTCCGCCTTTCTTTGTGTGGTCTTACTGATCGTTGCCTAATATTCGCGAAAATCAATAATTTTACGCGCGTGTGCTCTCTCGAATGTGTGTGTATTTTGGTGTGAGTGGGTGAGAGTTGCAAACAGAGTTGGAGAGAGCGTCTGCGGTTCGTTTCGTATCCCCCTAAGAACTGGATTAGCATTCAACAAAATGTTTAGCCTCAAAAACACAAGCCTTTCACCCAGCGCTATTCATCCATGAAATCGAATTTTTTGAGAGAAAATCGCAACAAGCTCTCTGAGCGTTCGGCATGACCTCTTCAACAGACATTATTGCTCAAAGTTTCTTCGGACCTTTGCTGGAATGCTTCTGTATTATTCTTAATATTGCGAACCATCAACCCAACGGTACATTCGGGATCTCGCTAGAGAGAAAATAAACATATGCGCAAATTCAAGAGTTCCTATGTACGGTAGCTAGGACCGAAAATCACCTTTGATGGACTGGGGTTTTTTTAGGGGAGGAGGGGGAGAGATTCCATTCTTTGTTAAAAAGCACTATACTACCTTTCTGTACTGAATATTTCGCGATTACTGTAATATACAAATGTAGTGGGAAAGACACAGCCTCATTGTGAAGGTCCAATCCAGTTGTGTAGTATGTAATGGTTCAGCACTAGTAGGTAGTACCAACTTACAAGGAAAGGTATTTATAGAAATTCTGAGAAGAAAAAAGTAAAAACAAAGAGTTTTGCAAATCTCTCAACATCGTTGTGGTTGTATCGCACATAATACTCTGCGGTGAAAAATTGTAATAGGCACTAAATAAAAAGTTAACATTGTGATTTCTACTGCAACCTCAGCTTAACTGGGTTCACTGACGATTTAGGCTGCCCAGATCAATCCTGTTGACGGGTTATCTTTGGTGCAACTGATAGAAAGCTAGTTGAGAGAAAAGCGAAACGGAGGACACACATGGTGTGGTGATGAACGCGTTAGCCCCCGGAAAGGGTACCAGAGCGTTCGTTCCCCACCTAAGGCACCTACGATCCGGAGTTTTGCAAATATCTCTGCACCGTTGCTAAAATTATCTTTTCTTTTCCAATGAATATCTGTGTAGTTTTTAACCCATCAATCACCTAACAAGACATACGCCTTTACATCTATTGGCTTTCTAGATTGAATGAAATTGTTACCGTCTTTCTCCGTTAAAACAGAATTTCTTCTAACAACTTTTAAGGAGGCTTTTGTTTTACTATATCTGAACTTATTTCTACTTTACTTTTGCAAACATATAATTCCTGGAGACAAGCATTTGATTCTAACTCTGCTACTATAAGATGTCTTAGACCACGCTTTCATCTTAGTATCGTAACGTTGTTGGCGGTGAAGACACTGTTTCTTTTGCGCTTCTATAATGGTTGGGCTAGAATGTTTTTAAGTCTTTCATTGCAATCAGTTGTTGCACTTGTGATTTATAAACGTTTCCTGTTATTTTGCGAAAGATCCATCAAATAGATAGTGAGAAACTCGTGGTAATGGTGTCTCGCTTTTCCCAGAACATTTCAATAGAATTGAGCTGCTTGAATAGTTGAGCGATCTGGATATCATTTACTAATATGCAAGTAGTCCGGCGCTCATGCGCTAAGTCTTTATAGGATCAGATTAAGCTGAAGGAAAGGATCAAGAAATGAGAATTCTACTCTTCAGTAGACAAAAAGTTGCTTAAAATTAGGTGATTCGAGTAAAGTCGATGTTTGACATCCATAACGATATTTTCGGAGAAGGCCCTAGTAGATGCATGCCTCCTGCACTTCCAACAATCCTTCTGCATGTCAGTACAACTTGTGTTTGCGTTAGTTCGTTCCGCTTTCTTGCAGTTCAGTTTTAGTTACATTACGTGTTAGCTGTTGCGGATCGGAATGCCGATGACATCGAGCCACAACCAGCGGGTTCTGCAGTGCTTTCTCGAGCCAGCAGTCGGCGTTCTTTACCGGAGTTCATCTATCCGGACACCATTCGGCAACGGGTCACAGACGAGGATTGTCCCGTCTGTCAAATTATGCTTCCGAAGGGAAAGGACGGATGTGTACGTGTCGTCTTATGTTCATATCATCAGATGTCTCATAAGTCGCTGCCAACTTTCTAGACATCTTGAAGATGTCGAACTCTCCTAATGGCGGAAAAAGCCTAACATGCGTCCGATTTGTTTCTATCTATGCATTGATTGTCTGTGAAACTGTGCATGGGAAATGAAGTGCTTATCGCTTAATGCAGCGACTTATGAGACATGAATGAAGAGGAGCCTTACTCTATGTGTACAGTGATTTTCGTCTTCATGTCAAATGAGCTTTGTGTTTAGACTTATCTTCCCGTATCAAAGCTTCCAGTGGTTTCACCTAGTTAACTGTTTTATCTTCCTGCCTTCTAGAATTTCTTCATGGCGCGGCATTATGCGACATACAATCACAATGGTGCTGAGATATTTGCAAAACTCTGGACTTCAGATGTCTGTGGTGGGGAACGAACGCGCTATTACTCTTTCCGGAGACCAACGCGTTTACCACCACACCATGCGGGTCCTTCGTTTCCCTGTCTCTCAATTAGTTTTCTATCGATCAGTGCCATCAGAAATCACTCGTCAGAGGGATTGATCCGGGCAGCCTAAATTGGTATTGAGCCCAATTATGCTGAGGCTGTAGTTGAAATCGCAATGCTAACTTTTTTGTTTCCACTGATACCTGCGGTTCGGAGTTTTGCAAATATCTCGACACTATTGTGGTTTCACGTAGATTTTTTTTCAGAACTAGGTTAAAGGTGTCAAACTTATCAAAAATAAAAAGCAAAGTATTCAAGTAAATTGATTTTTCTACTGAGCTTTTACTATCCATCACGGCTGAATTATCCCTTAACAGGGTTTCTGAGTGTCGACGGACAAATGAACGACATTCATTATCCATCGTCTGAAATTAGATAATTGGTTGACCAAGTATTGATTCGAAATGAACTGTAAGCAAATCAAAGTCCTTTCCGCTGTCTTGCTCTGAGTACTTCCCGAATTTCTTGGAAGATCACTTGCTTTTACGTATTCTAGGTTTCACGTCTAGTGATTCTACACGAAGAAGCGGAAGATGGAAATGCAATGCCTGACCTTACTCGACCTGTCGGTCTTGTATCGAAAGCTGTCGACAATCTTATTAAGGTACGGTAGGAAAGCATTTTTTCAATTTAGTTTTTATTTTGCATATATCACCTTTTTCCATTATGTTTTATTTTCACTGATACTTTTTTGTGTTGGGTTCTTCACTGTTCCGAGAGTATGCATCTCACTCATTTTATTCCTAACGTCTTGAGAGGTGCGGTAACTTCCTCCGAAAAATGGATTTCGTTACCTGAGACCTATTTTTTCGTTATTTTTATGACCTGTTTAGGTCTTGGTTTTATTATTGGTGTACAATCTCACTGTTCTTCTCTATTATATCGAAATCTATTGGTTGATGACTTCTAAGGGAGCTTTCATTAAAGAGTATTTGATAGAAGTCTTATTTTCGTGTCATTTAAAGCTATTTGGTAAGCCTTCAAAAACAGTGCACATGTTTTGAGTAGGGCGGTATTAAGGATGCTTCATAAATCCTTCAAAAATGTACTTTTTCGAAGTTCTAAGGCTTCCACTAGAGGAGATTTTTATCCCGGAGGAAATTAGTGGGGATTTTCTAGGCAAAAGAACACTTTTTCACAAACTAGGCCTTTTGCTTTCCACTCGAAACGAAATTCAGTCTTGTTGTTGTTATAGAACAGACTGATGGGTTATGAAAATATGAAGGAAAAGAGATATTGTCCAGGCAGCGTCAGGAATCGCGATAACTAGACGGTCTTAAAGGCTTCGTGGAATGTTCCCGCAGCCTATCACGGTGTGCATCAAAAACCGCCAAGAAATCCGATTGTTTAGTGAGTGGTAACTCGTCGAAGATGTTGGAACATCGTGATGTTGCTACGACTTCCACCATACTATCAATATTTCCCTTCGGCACATGTTGAATAGGATTATAGATTTCTCATCGTTCCTCGTAATAGTTGTGGGGGCGTTCTGCGCCTGCCAATCCCCACAAACCACATGTCTCGAGATGTTTTCCCATCATTTGTTATATCATCTGGATGTCTTGGGTTATACTTTGGTATTCATGAACCCGCTAAACTTCATTAATATTGTGTTTATAGTGTAAATAAGGTTGACAAGAAAGTTTCCAGATTCTGTAAACTCTTTTTCTTTTAAAAATTTAGCACATTCGTAGACCTTAGAAGTCAGTGTGATTTACGAACATCATGTTAACTGCCATAAAGCCCTAAAACTCTGCGAAATACGTGCACAACTTTTCTAGATAGGAACAAATGAACTTCTTAGTCCTAGAGGGGCTCCTAGTCAAAGCTTTTGTTCAATAGGTGGTTAGAGTAGGATAGTAGAGATTCTGAATGTATATATATATATATATATATATATATGTATATATGTAGGAAAATAAGAAAAAGGTTTTGGTATGTGTATTTCATGAAATTTTAGGAGACACAGTTTGTACAGTGGTTAGAAAGGACTAGTTGAAACATTAGGGGTGGATACAATAGTGGTAGTTATACCAAACATTACGAGCATGGTGCTGTTTCGCTCCCGAGCGAGGCTCACCAAGCCTGTCATCCATCCGAACTCTGAGAATTGGTGCCCGACTTGTCCGAGAAAAAAATTACTCTTCGCAATCCAATTGGAAGCGTTTCAGCCAGGCTATCTCAGGAGTCTAGAGAGAATCGACTCGACCAGTATTCTATGACACTCAAGGTGAAATGAAAATCCTCAAGCAGCAGCCGAACCCACACGTAAAATTGGAAATCCTTCGTGAATGCTGGATGCGAAGAGACGAACCTAATGAGATAAATTCTGGGATCCACAAAGTAGACGTGAAGATGGGTCTTATAAAATGAAATAAAAAGTAAAAAGAGTTGAAACGTCGTTCGAATGGAAACAGAAATTGATATGGTGGCAAAAAAGGATGAGTAACCGATGATCAATTTTTATACGTGTGCTGTGTCTGCTATCGCAGTCCGTTTTTGTTTCGAAGGTGACTGAATGTTTGACATTTCACGGAGCAAACTTTTTCGTTGTTCTACGGGATGTTCGAATTGCTAGATACTTCCATGGAAACTATCGCCATCAAGAGAGGAGTATACTAATAATAGTTTAAGAATTTATTTTAGATAGTTTAATGGTTTAAGAAATGGCATTTATAGTCTTAACTCTTTTATTTACTGCCTTTTTCTTCTTAATGGCAGGTTATGTTTCGAATTATAACTCGTATGAAATGCTGAGATATTTGCAAAACTCCGGTGGTCCTGTGGTCCGGAGTTTTGCAAATATCTCAGCATTTCATACGAGTTATAATTCGAAACATAACCTGCCATTAAGAAGAAAAAGGCAGTAAATAAAAGAGTTAAGATTGTGATTATAACTAAGCCTCAGCTTAACTGGGTTCAATGCCGATATTGGCTCCCCAGATCAATCCCGTTGACGGGTGATTGCTGATGGCAAAAAGATCGATAGAACTAGCTGAGAGACATGCGAAGCGAAGGACCCGGATGGTGTAGTGGTGAAGTGCGCTGCTCCCCGGTAAGGACAACAGCGCGTGTTCGTTCTCCACTGCATACACCTGTGGTCCGGAGTTTTGCAAATATCTCAGCATTTCATACGGGCATTTATAGCCTTTTTCGGTGCAATATTGCAAATTAGGGGATCAGTTCTCGCTAATCCTTGAATAAGCGAGGCGATCAGCAAGTAAACTTTGTTTATCCCCGTGATCGCCAGCAAGCTTTCAGTGGACTTCGAACGCTCAAAAAACACAGAAAGCATAAAAGTTTTCGCACGGTGCCCTATTTAGAACTTTTTTTTTCGGAAAATTCAGCCACAGGTAGCCACAGTAGGAAATCGGCCTTAAGGTGGCATAAATCTAAGGTTAGCTGGATTTTCGATTAGAGAAGTTCAGAGAATTCAGATTCCGTCTCTGTTCATAGAAGTGAAAATATTGAAGTCAATATGTTCTCGGCAATATGATTCCTTCCTTTTACACATTGGGTTTGAACGTCTGGATCCGATGAACTCGTCATGTATCGGTTGCTTGATTTTCGACATCTGAGTAAAGCAGAGTTTTCGAACTCAAATTCGTTCAGCTTCTCGATTACCACATACGAATCTCAAATAGTTTTTGTTTTTGCAGTTGCCGTACTTGAATCGGAATTTTAACTTGATACTTGAACGAACCGTCCTCACTGGTTGCGCGAACCCCAGCATAATCACCATTTTTCGGAGATTTGCTGGTTAAGCCATTGTGGTTCCCTGGAATCCCGAGGTCAGCCTGGCCAAAGTTTGTTTCAGATCTTCACTACTACAGGCAGTCGCAGCCCAAGTGCTTCAGAGGGAAATTAGCCACCATGCGACTTTGATACCAGGACGGTGGTGGATCCTAGTATTGGTTTACTCTTAGCAAGGCTTCCTGATGGAAACGCCGGACTCCGTCTCAGCATGGGAGACCCTGCCGGGGATACCCCGATGTACATCGCAGTGCGCACCCAAGAACACCTCCCAGCAACGGTGAGACCGTAAACCGTTGGGAGAATCGAAATTTTTAGGAATTCAAACTTTGTTTTGAACTTTTCCAAAATTAAAGGAATAAGAGTGAAGGATAAAGCTGTCGGCGTTGATCAATCCCTGAGGGATGCGCCATGCATTCGACTTCATTAAGTATCGCTGGAGGTGATTGAATGCATATCTGGCCTTTACAGTGACTCGCGGTGGCCTACCGATGTATCGAATCAGTGCTACTATCCTCCTAGACAAGTCTGGTATCAATTTGCCAAACCCGGAGGGATGGAAGTGTTGGTGAGCTATGGGCGCTGGAATCGATTCCACGTGTGCGTCGCAGTGACGCCTTCAACTACTGCGCCAAACGCGCCCTTAATTCAAGGAATGTTTTGTAAATTGGCATATGCACTTACTGCGTTGGAGCGAGGTCCCTTTTATAAATCTGTGACGTTCTTAACTCTTCAAACACTTAATGCTTAAGAAATGATTCTCAGTTATGGAAGAGCCAACATCCAGCATTATGTGTTTCAAAATTCTTATGGAACAGCTAGGTATGTGTCCTGGAAGGCTCGATAAGTCGTCTTATTAATGATCAAACTAGTTTTTTGTGTGTATTCTACCAATTCTGATTTTTATCCAGTAACTGTTCAGCGTCATCGATCGTTGTAAAATATTATTTCTTGACGTAAATAATACTTAGACTCAAAGATCGTTTAACGACGTTTTGAATAGCCAAGGAGTTAGAATCTTCTTGACGCCATCGCTTCGGCTCTCCATTGAGAGCATTAACAGTATATCAACTACTGAGCTTTGTCAATTTTCCTAGTTGCTGCGGAAAATTGTTCCTGTGCTTGCACGGAACGTTTCTGAGAGTTTTCTATGAGTCTACTCCTATCGGATTTCTTCCGTTCAGTGGAGTCAATGGTAGACTTAAGCTTGCTTCAACCTTCACAAAACCATGTGAACTTTCGTCTCGAGATTTACAGTCGTCAAATCGACGATAACCAGTCCGTCGATGGTAACGTCCTGAAAAGTGGCATTAGATGCTATGAGCATCTAACGCAACATTACATCAACATTTCCACTTATAAAAAATACGCAAATATCACGGTGACTCATGCTAGAAAAAATGTTGCGAATACATATGGAGCTAAAAAGAAATCGAATAAGCCATTGTAGGCTATGAGAGAGCGAAATTTATGCTTTAAAATTGCGTGGTTAACATTTGAAATGAAAGGTTATGTTATCCAAAAAAGTTTGTTTAATTTACTGCTTTACAATACAACATTTTAAGCTGGTCACTCTCTATGTTCTTTGCCAAGTTAATTATTGATAAGGCCAAGAAGAGGGCTATGTGGCGCAGTGGTCGGAGGTGCCCTGCAACACACAGGTGAAATTGATCCCCGCGCCCATGGCCCACCAAGCCTTCCATCCCTCCGGGGTCGGCAAGTTGGTACCAGACTTGTCTGGGAGGATAGCAGCACTGGCTCGATACATAGCTAGGCCACCATGAATCATTTTAAAGGCCAGATATGCATTCAATCACCTCCAACAGTGCTTAATGAAGTGGAATACATGGCGCCTCCCTCAGAGGTTGATCAAGTGCAAATCAAAAAAAGCGGTGTCAGAGAACGTCGCGTTGCTAAAAAGATCTGTGATCATCTGCCGAAATATGTTGAAGACTATGCTTTTTGTGAATGAAATGCTGCTATAATCGGCGTCAACATAACCTGGGACATTAAACTTTTCTCTAAACAGCACCATTTACCGGCAGACTCTATTTGTTAGTGGTAAGCGTGGCTCTAACCACAACCGTAATACGCTAAGTCAATAAGGCATCAGCAGAACTGGCACATTGTTGCGAGTGTGGTCGATGCGACGCCAATTCGTCGAGACATACTCTAGTGAATATCATCACACGTACTGCTATCAGGTGAGGTATTGAACTTAGTGTTGCTGCTTTAGGTTGGATATGACACCTGCAACTCTTCCGATGATCGCATTCTACAGCAAGACATGCCACCAGCACTTCAAAGAGTCGAACACAGTTCTCGACTATTAGAAGATGCTTGTCATATGCTTAAGGTTTAGATCGATTAAGGCCTATTTAGTGACCTTAGAAAAAGTTTGTGAAATTTCAGTCCGATCCGTTCTCAGTACCGGCCAGAAAGAAACTCATCGACGGCGCAAGAGGTATTCTTCAAGGAACCAGTGCGTTGCTGCTTTGTTTCGATGAGTCGGAGGTGGGAAATATCTGTGTTTGTTTGTTTAGTTTTTTTTGTGGATGGGAAGGGTCTGAACCAGCTCCTATTTCGAAATATATGGACGTGCTTTCAAATGTGAATGGTATTTCAACATCAAGCAAAAAGTCAATTAAGTTGTTTGCCCTTTCAATTTAGGTTTTCACTAAAGAACTATCGATGACCAACAATCAGCGCTTGGAGGTTTTTCTGCTATTGCCATAAAAGAGTTTTTCAGGTTCGCAAAATCATTCGTGGCTGTCGCAAGGTGCTCGACTACCTCGCCGTCGCCGAAGTGATAGAGAGCATGGACGATTTGGCGCAATTTGTCAAGGTACGCTATGCTATTATTTATGGTATTGCTCTCCTAAGAAAAAGTTAAAACTTCTCGAAAAACAAGCCAGCAGGTTTTCATCGTGGAATACAAACAATTTATTTAGATAAGTAATTAAAAAGATGAAGCCATTAGCGATTCAGTTGAGGCTGTTGGGGGACTAGTTTATGCACGCGGTTGTTTGATCAACTGGGTTATATCGAAACATGGGCAACTTTCTTTTTTCTTCGTAGGTTTGCTTGTATAACTGGTACTAGTAATCTTCTACACAAATCACCAAGTCTTTTCTTTGTTCTTCTTTAGTATCACTTGAATACAACCTTTTTGATGTGTATGATTTGTGGAATAAGCAACTGGAATAGTATCCAGACAGCTTTCAGGATATCACTCCATGGCTGTCACGAGTCTCATCTGATGTGACAAATCGTCAAGCAGAACTCACTCATCAAGTTCACAGAGATATACTATGCCGGTAAGAGCTTATCCGTTTTTTCCAAAGTAGAGAAGAATTCGCTCGACTATTTTGTAGTTGAAGGCAACGTTTTCAAAATGAATTATTCAAGACAAAATGAGTGTTGAGTTCAATCTCTGTGTAGACGCCTTTCATTTAGGTCTGTAAAAAAGGGATCATTTCCTTGATATTTTGCAATATCATCATTACCTTTCTAAACTGAATATTGTGTTTTACTGATGAATAGTAACACCTTTTGTAAGAGGTCGTTTAGTTTTCCTGGAAAATTTCTTTTTCTCTATTTATAACCAAGTCATATCATGCGCAGAGAGAGATCATTGGTGTCATTTCAGATGTTTGGATCAAATGCGAACGCTTTCACCTATTCTGATTTGTTCCATGAAGATCTTTATTCAGCTCGGTCAGGATCAAAATCGTGGGCAAGCAGAAGCCGCTGAGAATAGGTAGGAAGGATTGTTGATTTCGTAATCGAAGTCGTATTGTTAATAATATTGGGGGAGTCCGCACTTCTAATTGTACTTCTAGTTCGGTTATAGAAAAGAAGTTGCCAGTTTTCTACACGTATGGTTCAAACAATTTTTACTTGTTGCTGTTTACTGCATTGGACAGTTCTGTTCTTGCTTTCTTTCTTCTATATCACTCGTACCATCTGTAACCTCGTTAATCATCGGGATACTTGAGCGGACATCAGTAGAATCTCCGTTCATCACTATCGTGCCTCAGAACTTATACTAAACATTGCGAGCTCAAGAGGTTCTCACCTTTTTTGTTTGAGGTTCTTTATTTTTACTGCACTTTACGAAAAAGCCGTCAGTAGCAGTCGGCGAGCTCTACCGTATTATAAATTTGCTATTAACCGAACTTCCCGATGAAAATGCTGAGCTCCTCGGCCTAAGCTGCCCTCCCTGGAGAACGCACTCTTAACCTTATTTCATACTTACCACCTTTATCTTCCACTTCGATGCCATGAAACACTCGTGATCCACGATGTCCATTGGAGAATCATTGTCCTGATTAGTCCACTACATTTTCGTTCTAGATGAGGTGGCGTTTTCCGTTATTTTTTCCCGCTTCTGTAAAAGTGTTAAGTAATTACTGCGTTGCTGAGATATTTGAAAAACCTGGACCCCAGTCAAGTTTCTGGGTTTAATAAATTGAAGGGATAGTACTAGTCATTCATGTCCATGGTTCCATTCACAATGCAATTCAGGAACTATCTGGCACAACGAATGACGGACGAGATGCACGAGATCATTCGTGTTCTGCAACTAACCACCTACGATGAGGACGAGTGGGATGCTGACAATGTGACAGTAATGAGGAAGGCACTGTCGGCAGCCAAGTCGTTGCTGACAGCGGCACTTGACTGGTTGGCCGACTCAAGAGCTCAACCCGGGGCTGTCGGAGAAAAGGTTAGCAAAGTGCTCGTTGAAATGGAGAATGGCTAATAAAAGTGGGCTTTGTCTGCGCTAGAAAATGGCAGTGAATTTGGATGTAGCGCAGTGCCAGAGCATGAGGTCAGCATATCGTTTACTATCAAAAAATCAAAACCCCTTCTAGTTTGAGCCCATGGTTTGACCACTTGTTACCGATGTCATAGAAAAAGGAACAATCAGAAAGAACGGAAACTATAAGGGTTTTGGAAAAAAGGGGAAACTAGAACTAGAAGGGCGTACGCAATGTAGACTCATTGCGGCGTAGTTAGTTCAATATCGTGGATCTGCTATTTACTACTTAATCCTAGGGCATTTCTATACCTACTGGAGCTTTCTGTAATTTGGTTTTATAGTGTTATGAATGATGTTCATTTAATACATCATTGCTTCATAACCTAGTTGGGTCCTCAGCGTCTTGTCCCGGAATACGACTTGTTCCATCACTTCACTACCTATGAAGCGCTTTTGTTATATTCTCTTCTATGAGAACGTTCGTTCATCATCAGTGTGTTACCTCTAAAGAGTACAATAAGTGAGAAACATCGAGACTGTGGCTACCTCTTCTCTAGCGCTTTTTCCTTCGTCGTTAATTTATTGTTTTCTTGGCAGTGGTCACTAGGTTCCTAATGATATCTTGTTAAAAATTCAGGCGAATGTCTTTGATGGTTTTTTGTTCTCAGGCTATTCGTCGCATTCTTGACTATGCCGATAGGATAGCATCTCGTGCACTGCCGGAAGACAGTTATGCTATCAAGCGTTCGATATCCGAAATTCAATCGTTAACTGATGCGATCTGTGAGTTGAGGGCTCATGGCCGTTACGATAACGAAGGACTAGCAGCAAGCTGTGCTGAAAAGCTCAAGGTTAGCTAGATGTCCACTATTTTCTACGCTCACTGTTGAGACGCATTAGATGCTTAAGCTTGGAAATATCCTCAAACGATGACAATTTTTGCACTAGATCGATAGTATTCGAGTTAGGAATTGTCAAAAACGGCGACCTCTTATAGTTCCACTGTTTTACCACTGCTGCCTTGATCACTAGAAATTTCCTTATTGAAGCCATTTTTACCAAGTGTCAAAGTTTTGCTTTGACGTCGGACTACTTGCAACATATATACCAACATTTTTGTTGCGACAGTGTTCCTAACAACTTAAATCCCTATTGGTGTCAGTTCCACTGTGAGTGCTATGTGCAATGAAAATGAAGTGCATTTTCAGGAACTTATCGGTACCAAACACAGCTCTGGAATCCTTCCAGACGCCTTACTGAATGCGCAACGTATTGGTGGTGCACATCCAGCCCATACGGCTGCTGGACGTCTCGAACAAGCACTCAGGTAGTGAAATATGTCACTAAAACTCACTTGTTTGAAAAATTATGTAGTTCTGAGTTAGTCGAAGTCGCAAAACATCATTTTGTCTGTTTAGATGGCTAGATAACCCAGGAATGGATGATGGTGGTCTCGGGCTTCGTGCAGTGAAGCTGATGACGGAGGACGCACGTCGTCTTGCCGATAGACTTAACCCACAAGATCGGTAAGACCGTTGTCATTAGTCTACAGTACTCCATTCAGCCGAATTACTGTTAAGATTGGCAGTTTCCGTACTAATTAAGCTAGAATAAGCTCCGTCAATCTTATCATGATCGTGTAAAGATGCTCTTCTTTAGTGCTCATCTCTACGATCTTTGCTCTGATATCGATCGATTGGCGAATCAGTTAGCTGATTTGGAACAACGTGGTCTTGGCAATACTTCAGAAGCGAACGCTATTCGTCAGCAGCTGAAAGACAAACTCAGAGGACTAGCCGATTTTATGAAGAGAATTCTCACCGACAGAGTGGTATTGTCTAACAACAAATTATTTGGCTTTCAAGTAGTCAAATATTTCAAGTTAGTGCGAAGTACTGAGGTGTGCTTACCACTTCAGCTGAGCGCCCTGATCAGAATTCGTGTGCGAAGTGTTCAAAAAATAGTTCCAGTCCAATACAGTTGGAATAATCGTTGTTGTAGGTTGAGGACTTCGCTGACATCACTACACCGCTGAAGCAGTTCGTTGAAGCAGTCCATGCCGAACCACACGTGCCAAATAGGGAAGTAAACTTCTCCGATAAGGTATAATACGTTCTTGTTGTCTGGGTGGTTTGTCGATTAGGTTAGAATAATTCGTCATCGAGGTCTTTTTCGAGAATCTACCATGGAATAATATGAAATGACCAAGGCTATCCAGTCTAAACTATGTTGATTCACCATCCACGATTTTCCTCTGAGTTTTCCTAAATTTCACTATGTGCCTGAAATTCAGGCTTAGTTGTAATGGTGTAGTGTACTAACGTATCATTTCTGTTCGCCTGCAGTTAACACCATTGAAGATTACATATATGTAAGGAAATAGTCATGTAATGCGAGCGAATCGACGACGGTCTGAATAAATTTATTTAAGGCAGACCGACTCCGACAACATTCTGGAAATATGACATCCACTGCCAGACTGGTGAGTTTCGACTCTTTTACGTGGGTAAATAACCATGAAGATAATGACTGTGCAGTAGGAAGGATAGATTTTTGTTAAAGGGAGATCATAAACTATTTTCAGGTTGCAACGTGTGGCCCATGCAAAAGTAAAAACACAATTGAGGCCATCATCGACACTGCCGAGAAGGTCTGCATTAAAATTTCGAAAACAGTTAAAATTTTCCGCAAGCCATTCAGAAGCAGTAGCCTCGAGGGTTTTGGAGCTTTTGCGTATTTCTTTTGGACTTTTTCTTGTAACAGACATTATTTGAAGAGGTTTCTGTCTTATCGATCTGGTTTTTGTCAGTGATTTATCAGTCGAAAAATTTTAAAAAAATCAGTCGATCACAGTTCGTGGTATTATTAGTGAAGACAGGTAAATTCAAAAATTTTCAAAAAAAAATCGGAAATTGTCTAAATTAAACTTTAAATTTAGATTTAATAAGTTTAAATTTGATGTTTATTTTAATTTTTTAATCCGAATTTCCAAAATTTATTTTATTGTTTGTTAATGCTACTTGTTATTATTTAATTTATTTATTTTGAACAACTAGTAGCTGGAAATTTTAAAATATTTCTAAAAATAAATAAAATCTGGGGCTATAAAGTTTCCTAACGCCTCTTTCCTGTCTCTGTAAAACTTCGCTGTCTAAAGGAATTATTTAAAAGATATGATAACTTTAGGAAACTTGTTTAGTCAACACGAAATTTTTGTAACAAATTTTTTTTTGATTTTTTAACTATTGCAGGTTGATCAGATGACACCGCAACTGGTGAACGCCGGTAAAATCCGGTTACACAATCAGACTGACGCTGCCGAACAGCACTTCGAGAATCTGCACAGGTTCGTATAATTCTTTGTGTCGGTAAACTATCTGACCAAGGAGGTATTGAGACTGCTGAGTGCTACTCTTAAGTTCTCTACAGCTTTTTTAGAATAGTCTTATTTATCTAATTATATAAATGCCACTTGTAGCAAAGTAGTTAGACGTTCTGTACAATGCACACGTGACTGTTAGTTCGGTCCCACATCCGGACTCACCAAGCCTTAAATTTCTCCGAAGTCAGCAAATTGGTACCAGACGTGTCTTGGAGCAAAGCAGCTCTAATAGGCCAGAATTATTTATTCACCTCCAAGGGTGTTAAATGTAATCAAAAGTATAGCGGTTTCACCAAGGGTTGATCAACGCCGAACGCTTTTACGCCTTGTGTAAATGGCCTATCTTTGAATATTGGTGCAAACCCTAGCACCCTATTTATTTTGTCGTGTCGTAGTCATCATCCACAGAAGTAGCAAGACTAGCGTTTAGGTCAGCGTTCGTTAGAGGATCTGTCGCTTTCACGTGGATTCCCTCGAATCCAAGGATAGCCAGCTTACTGCGGTTTTGGTCTTTACGACTGACACTAGCTGGTCCTTTTAAATCCGATAGTGGTTTGCACCATTCCAACAAGGATTAGTTAAGTATACCAGATATTTCTGTGACAGCAGGGTTTCCTATGATCGTTTGAGACGACCATATGGGAGACCGATTCTTTGAGTTCCCTTTGAGTTGATGAAAAAACTCTTGTATTAATCGAAAAAAGGTTAGCGGATAGCTGTGCGTATTGAAAAAGAGTTTATACTTGTTTAAAATTGTCGGAAATTATTCAGGTTTGGGTGAAGTCCTAGTAAACCTCTTTAGTGATGATTGGAAACGATGTCAACAAGCTCTTAATAGTGAGTTGAGTCACCATGTTTTAGGCAATACGGTGACGCCTTGCATCGTCTTCGTTCGCACGTCGACGATGCCATTGATACGCATGAATTTGTTCGTGCTAGCGAGACGGTGAGTACGATTACATAGCTGTAGTCGTTTTTCTTAAAGCGACTTTACTTTGCAGGCCGCATTTCTTTGCATTGTTTTTTCTTCAAGTCAGTTTTGAACTCATCTCAGTTTGTTCTTTAGGCGATGCGCCGTTATACGAATCGATGTGAGGACGCCATTGCGGACAATTATCCACAAGGAATGGTCGACAACACTTCACAGGTAGATAGAATCAGACTGAGTTGCGATGTTTAATAGTCGTCTAATTTTTTGATGTGTAAATTCACTGAACTGTAAGGCTGTAGGTGATATTTAGCTTCTCCCTGCTTGTAGACATGATTCGTTAGAAAAGGTTCAAAAAATTTTCATCTCGACTGCTTATGAGATACTCTGCATCGAGCGGATAAGACAGAATTGATGAATTTCCATATATCTACAGATTGCTCGTCTTGGTAACCGCGTACTGATGTCAGCACAGAATGAAGCCGAAAACTCGGAAGAGCCTGCGTTCTGCGATCGGGTAAACAGTGCCGCTAACCTGGTACGCTCCGGTGAGTTTCCCACGCTATTCCGCTCCCACCCCGCCAGGGAACAGCTGCCATCCGTCCCCTCCTAGTGAACTGACGTCATGCTGTCGCAATTCCCCAAGTCCTTCATTGTCATTCCGATTTTTTTGCGTCTAGTGTCTGCGTCTTTTATAAGCAGTGTAGATATATCTCAAATCACTGAGTTTGAATTCATGGAAGTATTCATAGAAAGAATTCGGTTACTCCATACGTTCCTCCAGAGAGTGATCTTCACATACAGTTCACCTGCTCTGAATTAGTACATCTGTATTTTGGAGTACAACATGTTCTATAAAATAGTGGGCAAAACTGCGAAATGTCTCAGAGCAAATACTTTTCCTTTTCATTGTTTTCAATTTCGAACTCTTCACACTTCTAGCTATTCCTCCAATGGTGACCCAAGCCAAACAAGTGGCTATGAGCCCTCGCGACACTGGAGCTGCAAATGCTTGGCGCAGCGCCAACGATCGCCTGCTGGACTCAGTCCGAGCTGTCGGAGACGCGATTGCTGGGCTTCAAAACGGGCGACATTCGACCAACTATCTGGACAGTCTCAACCGAGCTTCACCGTACCAACCGTCACAGGTGATTCGATTTATTGCAATGCTAGGATAAAATACTCTACGCTAAATGATTACTTGTGGGTGTTATCAAGAATTCGATTGATCATGAAGTGAATTACTAATCTAGGAGTAGCATTCGTCAAGGACAAAACTTGAGCGACCTGATATGTTAGATAAACTCGTCACCATTCAAGTCTTCGATAGAATGAAATTCGTAATTGTCTGTAGAAGCACGGTATACTAGTGCATGTTGTCACGCGCTGACAAACCCTCTGTTCTAACGGGATTTCGCTAAGCCGTGAACCTAGTTGTGCCATTCGCATTTTTCTTCCGTATAAGTAAATATTTATCGTAACACTGCGTGAACATGACTTTTCTGTGCTTATGAAGGGAACGAGGGGCGCATGTGGTGCAGTGATCGGAGCGCACTACAACACACGTGGAATCGATCTCGGCGTCCATGGCCCACCAAGAATTCCATCCCGTCGGGATTGGTAAATTAGTACCCAATTTTAAAGGCCAGATATGAATTCAATCACGTCCAACGATTCTTGATGGAGTCGAGTACATAGCGCTTCCCTCAAGGATTGATCAACTTCCAGAGCTTTATAATTTTTTATTTTATGGATTAAACAAGAGCAAGTTATCGGCTGTTTCTAAACTAAGGCTATCCACTTGATGATAGAACTGTAGAGGATCTTGATCTATTTTCCAAGAAATCATCGACTCGTTTCCTTCTAAACAGTACTGTGTGAACTTCGAGTTTGAGATCCTTATATCTTTCCAGGCAACGTCTCAAATCATGCGTTCCGTACCACCACAAGCACCCACACCTCCTATAGTTCATAACAAAGTTATAATTCGAGAGGAGATTCCTGCACCACCAAGACCACCACCGCCAGTCGAAATCAGCCCACCCCCACGACCACCGCCACCACCTGAATACGACGATGAAGAAGAGACTAGAGCGTTCTGGGAAAGGCAAGATTGCTATTCTGATTTTTTAACGGACCTTAATATAGAAAATAAAAGGTCTATAATATTAAAGCAAGAGTTTCGATATAACGCATCTATAGAGACTTGAGCATAATGGTTAGAAACAGGTGTCATGAAGAGAGCGGTAGCGATTTTCTTTCCAACAGAGGTGCATCCCATTAGCGACTGAAAAGATGGGCTGATAATGACTGAAAGGAATTATGGGAGGATTTGCTCATAGAACGTTACCTGTACTTGCTTTGAAATGACGGGTTATCTAGAAGATTTTCTGGAGCAATTTTCTTTAACATCTATCAAAGTGCAAGCTGATTCCATTGGTGTAAGACACCCATATCTTGTTAACTTAATGCTTACGTCGCGGAGTTTTTTCTCTGAGGACTCGTGTAGCGCTGTGGTCAGAGATGCTCTGCAATACACATGGGGTCGATCTCCACGTCCCAGGCTCACCAAGCCCTCCATCCCTCCGGGATCGGCAAATTGGTACCAGACTTGTCTGGGAAGATAGGAGCACTGGCTCGATACACCGTGAGTCATTGTAAAGGCCAGATATCCATTCAGCTACCTCCAACGATGCTTAATGAAATCGGATGCATTTGCGTCCCTCAGGGATCGGTCAACACCGACAGCTTTATCCTTTTTATTTTGTGGGATTGTTTTACCGCTTTTTTATTTTCTATATTTTATAGGTATATTACGTTTAATTTATTTATTATTTTTGAAAACTTTTGCCTGACTAACTTATTCGGACGTGGATATTTTTATTTTTGTTGATGTAAGACGCATTTACACAAGTTTTCTAAGTACAACTACACTCAAGCAGCTTTATTACTTCACTAAATTTCGCACTTCTAGGTATCCGCTACCTCAAGCCAGTCATCAGCCTATTCTATCTGCTGCCCATTCATTGCACAACGTAAGCTATTTGTTCTGATGTAAAATGTGAGCGGTTGGCGCTGATTTTCTACTCTCGAAGCAGATGTTACCAACATTTGAGGGAAAGTGCAAAAAAATTGCTTAAACTTCTATTCACTGACAAATCATAAAACATTACGATTTTACAGTTAAACCATGTAAAGTTATTAAAAGTGTAAATTTTCAGGAGCTTAGGCAATGGTCAAGCCAAGAGAATGAAATCGTAGCGGCGGCTAAGCGCATGGCTATTCTTATGGCACGCTTATCACAACTCGTACGCGGTGAGGGTGGGACGAAGAAGGTATGGTTACTGTATTAGAAATGGTTACGGAAATATGTACACTTCTATCAAAGTTGCACTCTCCTAAGTTTGTATATCCTTTCGTTTCAGGACCTTATCGAATGCGCGAAAGCGATCGCTGATTCAAGTGAGGAAGTAACTCGACTAGCCGTCCAACTTGCCCGCCTTTGCACAGATTTGAAAATGCGAATGGTAGGTGTTTTTCGTCTCACTAATATCATTGTCCGAGTCAATAAACATGTTACACTAAGGAATGCGTCGACGATCGATCGAGTTTAGAGTGATTGCTGATTTTTTTTGTGAGGTTTTCTGATGAACTGTTGTGTAATTGATGTGTTGTGGGCTTTGTTGGCGCTGATCTCTCGTGAGCTTTTAAAGCGAGATGTGATAGAGATGCAAGCAGTATTAGTTGTTCAGCGTCCTATGTCAGTTTTTATAGAGCATATCAAGTTGTAATCAGTGTACGTTAGTGAAATTGGAGTGAAATCCATTAAAGATTAACCGTTCTCTGATTTCTAGGCTCTCCTTCAAATGGCTGAACGTATTCCGACAATCGCAACACAACTTAAAGTGTGCTCCACTGTTAAATCGACCATGTTTGGTACTTCCAGTAAGTCGTTTCCCACAATATCATTCACTTGTAGCGTAATGGTTAGTGGTGCCGTGCAACACACATGTGAGCACGGTGTTTAACTTTTTATTTATTGCCTATTATTTTTGAAGACAGGGTGCTGTGTGTATTACAACGATGCTGAAATATTTGCAGAGCTTGTACCCCAGACCATATTCGAACTCGCGATTACCCTTTCTGAGGGTTTACGCGTTATTCACTGCACCAGTGAGGCACTGGCTTTCTGTTTCTCTCAGCCGGTTTTTTCCCCTAACTGTGCCATCAGCAATCACTCATCAATGAGAATGATCTAGGGTGCACAAATTGGCATTGAACACAGTTAAGCAGAGTATTTTAACCGAGTCCAATGCTGGTTTTCCTAGATCACTCCCATTGACGGGTGATTGCTGATGGCATCGATAGGGTAGAAAACAGGCGGAGAAGAAGGCAAAGCAAGGACCTCTGCAGTGAGTCTCATGCGAGCCCTCAGAAAGGGTAATCGCAAATTCTAATCTGGCTTGGAGTCCAAATTTCGCAAATGTCTCAGCTTCATTATGGTTGTAATGCACATATGATCGTTGGTTTGATGATGCACTCTGCACACCAATCTCTCCATCCCTTCGTGGTTGGCAGACTGGTGTCAGAGTTGCTTGAAAAAAAATAGGAACACTGTCTTTCTACATCGTTAGGCTCCCGAAACATCTGTGCGATGCTTCATAGAGCCCAATGCATGGCGAATTCATAAAGGATTGATGAGCGCCGAGTGCTTCATCTCTTATCCATATGATTTGTTTGGAGTTGCGAGAGTGAACACTTGCAACCCTTTGCTTTTCAAAAGCTTCGCATAATAATTATAAGCTCTCCGAGCAAGAGGACAGTCTCACAGCAACACTGTTGATTGGTCAAAGACGAACCAAAGTGTTCTTAAAAAATCCGAAGAATCTAAAACAGGGCGGTTTTTGAAGACAGAATATTTTTCCTGCTCCGTTTCATTACAAGCATTAATGCAGAATGGAAGTTTCTCCCACTGTTGGTTGCTTGCGCGAAAAGTGGTGGGATGGTGTGCCTTGCTGGGAACTTCACTTAGTGGATTCTGCGATTAACTGTAGATAATCACCATTTTAACTTATTATTTACTGCCTACTCTTTTTAACGGCAGGGTATACATTGTGAAATATAACTTCAATGATGCTGAGATATTTGCAAAACTCCGGACCGCAGGTGTATGCGGTGGGGAACGAACGCGCTATTGTCCTTTGCGGGGAGTGGCGCGTTCGCCACTACACCATGCGGGTCCTTCGTTTCGCCTGTCTCTCAGCTAGTTCGATCGATCCTTATCGAGAATACTAAGTATTCTTTTTAAAAATTTGAAAGTTCATCACCAGTGCTGTTGGATATTTCCAGTGACTATTGGACCATATGGAGAACAAGTTGACGGTAATGCTAGTTTGTTCTATAAAACAGCATGCGTTTGCATTTTCACTAACGAAGTGTGGCATTGTGCTTGGTTCCTAGTAAGGAAAAGATGGGAACAATTTCGGACTATTAATACTTTTGAGTCGTTATTTTTTATGAAGGTGTTAATCAATTATTCTGTGGGTTCATTGTTGTTGAACGCTTCTCACTTTTACAGTAAGGCTGTAAACCAAAGGACATAAAAACAGTGCATAAAAAAATCGTAAGAAGAAAAACAATGGGAGCATGCTGGGTAAAACCCTAGAGAAATGAGAAAGTGGATTAAAGTTTGAAATAAGTGAAGAATTTAGGATAGAACTAATCCTTACCTGATTTCATATCTTACTCCTCAGTATGTCTAACTGTTTTAATCCGTACAACAGCATGACTCAGTCTGCCAGCTTAACTGTAATCAGATTATTCTCGTATTTTTCCTACAGGTAGTGAAGAGGACATCGAAGCTATGGAACAACTGGCGCATAACGCTCAGAATCTGATGCTTGCCGTCAAGGATACTGTGCGAGCAGCTGAAGCCGCTAGCATTAAAATCAAGACCAACTCCGGTCTTCGTCTTCGCTGGGTCCGAAAACCAATGTGGTCAAATTTCTAGCTTCTTCCTGTCAACTATTGCCATATTCTCGTATCCTCACTATTTGTCCAAGCGCTCAATTCCCTTACGCGCGCGCGTTCATCGTGGCGACCTCATTACAGTAATCCTTTCATATTGAATGACATTCACCGTCGTCGTTGTTGGCTTCTGTTCTTATTATCGTCTATTTTTTCACATATATCCACTATCGATGCATAATGCTTAGCATATTGAACGATTCAGTTCGCTAACTTGCTGGTGTATTCGCTAAAGTGCCTTTGTTCTTTTCTTTATTAAAAAAGGATTCTTCATATAGGATAGGAACCACGCTTATGTATTCGGCCTTTTTGAATGTCGTGCAATTGTGCCTATCGTATCAACACTGCCTTGGCTACTGACAGTCAAATACTCGAGTATCGATTTATTGACGAAACTAGTCCACTCATCTTTCTTTTCGTTCGCTTTCTATGATGTATATTTTATTCAAGAACTACAAAGACACTGACAAAATATGTTTTATATATATTTTATGTGTACATGCTGGGGATAAAAGATTATAACAACGAAGATGATACCGTTTGAACTAGTGCTGGGGAGAATTGCTGCATTGGGAGTTCGTCAAGCTATTGACGATCCATAACATAACACATGATCGATGATAACATGGATTTCAAACTAAACTCCTTTTCATCTAAATGTAAAATTTATTACCTGAAACGAAACCTGTTAGACTCCACAGTTTTTTTCCATCTTATCATCGAAGCTTACATCCTAATCAACGAGGTAGTTGAACAACAGGCATTTCATCCAGTCGAACAGTGACGGCGTTACGGATGCCAGCGACTGTAGCGGTTGCTCCCACGACCGACTTTCTATTAACCTCGGCATTGATCAAGTAATTCTTCGTATTTTTGTTGTGCAAACGCGAGGTGTTATTGTTCTTTATTCACGAATAAGCTGACGTTTCGGCAGATTTCGCCCTCCATTAGAAATGGCTATTTGCCGTGCCAAGTTCCGGGACTCCTCTCTCTGCTCTCTTCCCGGTCTTATGGTTTTCAACCTTATCAGCTCTCGTACCTCTCGCATACCACGTTTTTGCACTGGAGTGAGGTTTGAGCTGTATCTTTTCGCGCGATAGTGATTAAGGGCTTTGAGAGTTTCATTCGCAAACATCCGAAATTTAACATCAACTTCATTATTGGGCTCTTGTTGTCTGAAGAACGTCGGGGGAAATGGTGCTATTGGTAGGGCCCCCATTTGGTGTTGTTCGCACCTATTTAGCTCTTCATCTCTAGCTTTTTTGCGGAGTCTATCTTGAAGTTCATTTAAACCACCACCACAGGCACCACCGAATGAGGTTTCTTTATTCGAGCGGTACTCCAATCAGTCGTATTTGACTGAATGCAACTACGAAAACCTGCATCGCAAAGGCAAAGGTTGTGGACAATCGACTGGAATCAATACGGCTTCGTGAAAGACGGAGACGTGAAGACGTTAGCTGAATACATCTTTTTACCAACGTTGCTGCTAAATAATACGAGAAGGTTTGATTATTTATGCCGTGACTCAATGAAAGACGGTTTTTAAGACATGGAACGCCAATATTTATTCAGGATATCAACAACCTCTTTTTCGCCGACTGACCCCTGTCCGTCGTTGTCACCCCTGTTATAAAGAACAATAACACCTCGCGTTTGCTCAACAAAAATACGAAGAATTACTTGTAGCGGTTGCGTTAGAACATTTTCTTTAAATCCTAGGGCAACGAGAACTGACGGCTATTCTCATAATCGTTTAACATTTGGCGACTAAATGCATTGTGTTCAATTATTCTTATAGCTTGTTTCTGTTGCAGGATAAATATCTTCTGTTTCCTCGTACTAATTCGATATCTCCCACGGATGCTGGGCACCCCGTCGTCCAAGAAAAGCATCATACAATTTGCAAGAACACTTACTGAGACAACAGGATTGGGGACCCTTCGTCTCCTTGCATTCCATGATAGTTCCATAGCTTTCTATAGAGATAGTAGAAGTCAATGATAGGACATTTGGCTCACCAAAGAAGGGACATTCAGTTCACCAAGGAATACAGAATGGCACACACTTCTGGTTACGTATATGTACACTTTTTTTTCTTTTCGATAATTTGCAATCTTGATGACATGCTGGGAACGTTCCCGTAATAACCATTATAATAATGCCTTTTTACCTTTCCACCGGGCCGTCATCATAAGGAATTTAGTCTACTCCAGTTTTACTTCTCTTGTCAGCTTCTGTTGGATAGGGTATTTAGGAGAGCTCTTTTTGCTCTACCTGCATTTGCCAGCCAAATGGGTTTTCCTCTTGAGTGAGTCAGCTGAAAGCGACATTATCATTTATCAATCACTATCTTGTTGAAGAGCAAATGCGAGGTTGTTGTTACAGTATTTATCGGCAATAGTTGAACATTTAGTGGTTTCGCCTTCTTGAGAACCTGAAAAGTTCAAATCAAATTGACATCTAATCTACTTTGATAAGCACTTTCATAGGCTCAGCAGACGAAATTTAGAGCATTGGTTTTATCCTTTTTAATCATCGCTGCATGGATACTTTCGTCATTTAACAGTGTCCATCGCCCTAATTATTAGCGATTCAGCCATTTGTCTAGCAGTTCTCTCCATATTGGCGTAGAATCTAAATCTGCTTAGACGTCCTTATCGAATAATCCAAACCTTATTTTAACCATTTTTATGTCTGCTATATGGTATATATTGATGGAAATCCTTCAATACAGTTATTCATTTTTGTCAGGCCTATAGACTCGTCTACAACTTTTATTGACAAATCAAATCAGTAGGCCAGTCTTGTCGAACTTGTCTTAACATTCATAGGATATGTTTCTCTTTTGTTATTAATTAGGACTCATTAGCGTTGAACAAAGTGACAGAGTAGGAATTTCAACAATCTCTCGAATATGAATCTTCAACACCTACCAGTTCTTTTTCAATCTCTATGAGAAGCCGTTGTCATTATACTGAATGAGTGAATATGAAGATAACTATGAGGACAAGGAAAGAAAATTTCGAGTTAGTTAAGGAACAGTCGGAGTAAATAATATTCACTCGAGAGAAAACGAAAGAAAACTGATAAGAGCAGATGTAGCCGCCGACGTTTGCGCGTGAAGTAGAAGGAGTAGAAGGAGGAATATCAGAAATCGGAGCTACAAACAGGCATTCCGAACGACTACGAAACCTTACCTCCTCGGGATAGACATAGAGGAAAAAGAACGGTGCTATACAGTAATTCTGGTGAAAACAAGGTCCCATTTACCTCTCGTTTACCCTGCAACTGGAAGCAGGTACAGAACGTTGAATAAAAAGGGCCGGTCTAGAGAATTCTGCAGTAGTGATTGAATTAGTACTGAACATTCTAAGACGTCACCTAGTTCCTAACCGGTTGTGTGACTGTCTAGGCGCAATGCGAAATTGCACAATTTGCCCTAAAGGTAGAGACTATGATTGCGTAAGTTCGGGTACGGTGTGCCTGTTAGGAGTGCGGAGGCGAATACACTGGTGAAACGGTAGGACCACTGTGAGTCCATAAAAAGCCATCTAGTAGGCACATTTAAAATTAAACCAAATACCGCACTATGCGCACATAGGGACACAGAGACATCACCTGTATCACCCGTCGTCCCGTTGGTCGTTCAGTGAAACAAGTGGGCGCCAGTAAACATTCTATTTGTCGTTATCGCGTTCAAGAGTAGCCCAGTGAGTTCTCCTCCCTCTAAGGCTCGGTAAGTATGGCACCTTTCTTCTAGTGTTTTCATGAAGAACCCTGAATATCGTGTAGGTAATCTTTCCGCAACATGTTCAACATCCCGTGGAATCCGTGCACTAACGTCTCTTGTCTATCACTAGTCCCAACCTTATCTTCGACAGTATAGAAGGGCGTCTTTGATTTTTGATTGTTGACGTAGATCGGAGCACCTGATCCCTTTCTTAACATGCGTGATACGAGATGCCCACAGCGTCGCTCTTACGATTGCGCGTTCATTAACGTTGAGTGATCCCGCATCTTGCTTATGCAGGTCTCTGACGCATTCACTAGGAAGCAATGATGGAGTCGAAAAGGTGGGCAAGGAGTTCGGTGATCTTTGTTTTTTTCACTATCGGGTGCTTCCTCCTGCTCAAATCACGAGTTGTTCAACATGTTGATTTCCGGGCTTATGTAGACATAACTGGAGCATTCGGAGATATTCGTTCCGTTGAGCGTGAATGTGGCAAACAAAACCAACTCCGTTCCTCATGAACATCGGTTTTGTGAGATTTAGTCAAAGACCAATCTTTCCACAGGCTTTATCAAAGTCGTCAAGCAAACGTTCCGCTTGGCTAGTGTTTGCTGTTATAAGCACGATGTCATCAGGAAAGCGAGGATAGTGTAACTGCCGCCTATCGATTTTCGCTCCCATATTATCCCTTTCCAATGTTCGCATAACGTTCGGAGGGTGCCGGTAAATAAAGTAAATAATTTTGGCGTGATACTGTCGCCTTGCGTAACCCTTCTTTTGACGTCTACGTTAATACCGTTGTAGAATGGTAATACTTTGGTTGTGAAATCTTTATATAGCTCTCAAAAAAGTCTTCATATATTGGGTAGGGAGTTCCTGGTTGTCCAGAGCTTCCATGATCACTTCTACTTGAGCTGACTCAAAATCCTTGCCCAAATAAATGAAAGCAAGACAGAGCAGTTTCTTTCACCCTCGGGATACACCAACGAGCCTTGCTATAGTTAAAATGTGGTCTTTTGTACAGTATCCTCCTCGAGAATCTGCTTGTTCACATGGCTACCCTTCGTCCACTGTTCTGTCAATCCCGTTTAGGTCCATCGAACTAAACCCTCTACGAAACCCTATTTGCTCACATTGCTGTCCTTCGTCTAGTGTTCTGTCAATTCTGTTTGGGATGACTCGAGTGAAAAGTTTGCAGACGACAGACAGCAAGCAAATTGGGCGACAGTTGCCGATATCGTGTAGGTCAC